TATATATATATATATATGTCTAGATGGAGTATCACTTTAACAATTTTAATATAGTATCCTATTTATGTACTCTCTCTAGACCTATATATAAGTAACAAAAAAAAATCAATTTTACATAGAATAAAAGATATGATTAAATGCATAATTTTTATGACATCATATAAAATATACATTATATTTACTAAAATATCTTTAATTACACTTATCATAGATAATGCTCCCATTTATTATTTTAGAGATATTTTTTATTTAAGAACTTGTATTTTAATTTAATTCAAGAAATTTAAGCATTTTATTTATTTATATGTGTTCAGAGGGAGCACTATCTATTAAAAATAAATGAATACTGTATTATTTTTCACATAACAGTGATATGTAATTCTTTATTTTTTAGGAAAAAAAGGTGATATTTAATTCGATGGACTTAATTCAACGTTTTCAATTGGTAATGATAGAACGTGATTTAATTGATTGCTAATTACTATTACTCCATTAATTAACTTTAATATTTAATTTCAGGACTAATTCTTTCTCGTGAGCCTCAAAAAGGGTTAATTAAATATCATTAATTAATTTGGACAATTTTTATTGAAAATCCCCTCTCTTAATTGTTGTTGATATAGACTGTTCTTTTAACGTACTTAATGTAGTCCTACAACAAAAATTGTAGAGTAATTTGTATTTGTGTTCATCTCCCTGTCATTTCTTTTATATATTATAATTATTAATGATGGAGAGATAGACAAAAACAAAAATAATTTTGTATAATTTTTATTATTTATATAATATTATTTATTCATTAAAATTTAATTAAATCTTATAAAATTAAGATAAAAATTATTTCCACTTATATTATTATTTATTTGTTATATGTCTAATGGTATAAGCCTTAAAATTTTTCTACTATATATTATATGTTTGTCTTACCTCTAATGGTGTAAGCCTTCAATTTTTCCTACTAGGCTAATAGTGCTAAGGGATGTATTTATTTTTTGTAAAAAAAAAAAAACCCCAAATCATTAAATAGTTTACAAATGATGGAAAATCTTTATCTTACAAAAAGGATTTAGTATGATCTTGGTTCAGTTCCTCTCACATTATTTTATGAAAGTAATACCGGCTTAAAAGTCTAAAGGGAGAGGTAACTTCCAAAAAAAATCTCAAAACCTACTTAATAATTTAAGTTAACAAGAAAACTATAATATCAAGAGGATCATCATCTTTATGGTATCATAAGAATGACAATATCGGAGAATTTTTGGCTCACAATCTCTCCCTTTTGGTTTTTAAGTGTATTTTATTATGTAGTTATGGAGGAAACACTGTTTCGTCGTCTTCGAAATTTGAACGAGAAAGACTTTTAACCCTGAAACGGGTACAATGAATGAATGTGGAGCAGGTGGAGAATGCTTCTTGGTTGAGAATTATTATCTTGCAGACGTTCGTCATGACAACACAATCGAGGCATGCAAATATAAGAAGAAAATGACAAAGTTGATGACTACACTGTTGAAGAAAATGAATAACTCAAGTTGTGCGTGAAGGAACATGGGAAACATCCATGTTAGTTACGACAATGATCTCGCCCTACGTACACGCTAGGGAGGACCCACGATGAGACCTTGCTAGATCATTGTCGTAACTAACATGGATGTTTCCCATGTTCCTTCACGCACATGATTGCAAATATATAATGATTCTTCACGTACAAAGTTTTTAAGTTCTGTTGTTATTATTATTATTGCAATTATAAAATGATTGACGGTGCAATTAATATATATTTCAGTTTCAGGTTTATACAATAAAACTTTAGACTTACTGAAAAGGTATGGTACGCTAATTTATCAGTCATTTAATGACAAACTAAACAAACAACAAAAAATCATTTGATTACAATGTACGAAATAGGCACTCTTGCATCAATACCAGATAAAACTGAGGCATCTCATATTTTTATTCATTTAACTAGCAACGAATCAGATAAATTTTACCTACGCTAGTTTTAAATTCTCACATGGCGCTAGAATACTCCTTTCACCGACTCCTTTCACTCGGTGAAACTTTTTATTTGTAGTTTTCCCAATTCAACTGTGTATCATCACGTACGTTCATGGGCATGCTGCTGTGCTGCTTCCATAGAAGAAAAGGAGAAAAAACCTTTGCTATTCGCGTATCTCGATTGTATCGAAAATCTTCAAAATATATTTGAACCATCGGGTCAAACTACAATAACTTTTTAATTAAAAGAATGGATTCAAACCATATATGAAGGCACTTTAAGAAATTCAATGAACTTACCTTCTGCTTAGACGACACATGCCCTACCTAATCCTGATTTTCGTTATAATCTGCCAATAAAGTTATCTCCGTGGCTGAAACATGCCAAAGGGTAATCTCTAGGTAACTTCTTTCACGACACTGCCAAATTAAGTCCTTTCCTGTAATTACTTGTTTCCCATTTGGTTAATTTTTCAATTAAATGTAATTGAAAAAGGCATTTAAAAATGATGACATCATTTCTTGAATTTGCACATCCCCTCTACACCTATAAAACCAAACATGACAAGCATAACCAATACTATAAGGTCCTAACTTAGCTTTTCTCGGAGATCGAACGCTTATTAACTGTTATATCTTGGAACATATATTCATTGCGCCTCTGCATTATGGGTAGGTCACCATGTTGTGAAGAGAGTAGTAGTGTAAAGAAAGGACCATGGACACCGGAAGAAGATGAGAAGCTGATTGAATATATCAGCAAACAAGGCCATGGCAGTTGGAGAACCCTTCCAAAGCGTGCAGGTCTCAATAGGTGTGGCAAGAGTTGCAGATTAAGGTGGACAAACTATCTGAGGCCAGATATCAAGAGAGGCAAATTCACTGAGGAAGAAGAGAGACTTATCATCAACCTTCATTCAGTTCTTGGAAACAAGTATAGTACATGTTTGCTTACTTTTTCTATATATATGATTGTATTTTTATTTCTTATTTACATGAATAATTATAAAAGTTTTATCTTATTTCTTAAGGATTTTGTATGGCAAATAATGAAACCAAATCTTAAAAATAACAAACAAAATGAAAATAAGGTGGTATTTTTGTTAGAAATGAAATAGAATTTTGTGAAGTCCCTTAACTAATTGAAAACTATGTAATATTTCTTTCTATTTTTTCTTGTAGGTGGTCAAAGATTGCAGCACATCTGCCAGGAAGAACTGATAATGAGATCAAGAATTATTGGAACACTAGCATAAGGAAAAAGCTTCTCAAGATGGGTATTGATCCAGAAACTCACAAGCCAAGGACAGACTTCAATCACCTAATGAATCTTTCGCAGTTGCTTGGCATGTCAAACTTGAGCAGTGCTATGAATACTACTTGGGGCAATAATAACCCTTTTGGTATGCCAGCAGATATCACTCAACTAGCCAAAATACAACTACTGCAAAGCCTGTTGCAAATTATGAACAGCAATTCATTTGTTAACATGGGAAACCCTAACCTCTTAGTAGGAAATCCCAACCTCAACCCTTTATTTCTCAACGGATTAAACCCCCTCCAACCTAAGGAGCCTGTGGTGTTGAGTGGTAGTGAAGAATATGCTAACCATGTAAATGGTATGTACTCTCAAGCACAAAGTGAGTGCTCTCAGCATGAAGTTTCAAAATCATGTGCAGATGTAGAGGGTGGATCTAATCCACAAGATCCTGATTACAACAAAATTAACAGCACTTCTTCACTTGAAAATCAAGCAGAAGAACCTCTTCCTGCATTAGTTGTATCTTCTCCAAGGATGGGAACCTTCAACCAAATGAACAATGGATGCAACATGGCTCAAACGTTCACAAAGTCACCTTCCAACACAATCTTTGATGATTGGGAGAAGTTCCTTGAAGATGAAACAACCGGTTCCTACTGGAAAGAGATTCTAGAGTAAGATCCTATTCTCTACAGTTTTATTTTTCTTATGCTTGCATGCAGCTTCATCAATATTCAAAACTAATATGTTTAATTTCCTTTTTTTTTTTTTGTAGATCCACTTCTGCGTCACCAATTTTGTGGTAGAAGACCATTGATTCTCTTTCAGGATGATCCCATCAACTTATGGATATCACATATGCTCAAGAAATATATATGTAGTTTTATTCATTCATGGTTTTTTCATTGTTTAGATTCATTTCTATTTTTATACATGTTAACATGGGTACAAAACATATATACGTACATGCATGCATATTTATATGGAGAGTTGCATATATATTTAGTTATATGTATTTTAGACACAAACTTGTACTTCACCAGATTGGTTCTATATTCTAAATAAAACATGTTTTATAATTACAATTCAAAATTATAAGGATTTGTTTTAATATTTCTTCTCATCTCTGGGGACTATATATGAGTTAGGTATTTTTGCTTTGCTTCTATTGAAATATGTAACAAACTAAAAATACTCTAGATGCATTCTACAGTGAGATTGTATAGGTCTAATTAACCAATGAAGTTAATCTTTTGACTTTAGTATATAATCTATAAGTCAACCTTGTCACCACAATTTCTCGCCGACTAAAGAAATATTTCTTTGTTAAGCATCACATCAAATGATGAACGTATAGAAGATAGAAGCTAATCCAAATGACAATTTGTCTTTGGAATTATTAAATTTGTACAGATTCCAGACCAACTGTTAGGTCAGACTAATTGTTTACGTCTGGAACAAGATAAAAAGAAATGAACGGAAAAAAAAATGTTGCGAAGGGCCACATCTAATGCAACCACCCCTTTGTTTTCAAGTTCACTAAAGAAGCAGCCTCCTTTGAGATAATGTTTTAGGTGGGGAATTTTGTGCAAGCAGTGATTAATCATGGACACGACACAAGTTATCCTCCCTTCAAAAGCTTTATTTCTAGAACAATCGGGACTTTAAACATTGTCCAGCTATTTTATTCTAACAAGAAAACTCATTTTTTAATGTCATTTTCATATAAAGGCGGAAGATAATGTTATGAACACTACTTGATTATGAGATTTAAAAATTATAGATAACTAATGTAGATTAATTTAAATGTAAATATTTTTGACACGATACAGTAAATTATAATGCAAGTTTTTTTACTTATATAATTATATTCTTAATTAAGTGGTTGGAGTTTAAATCAAGACTCTTGGAAATACAAAAAATTTAAGTTGAAAAAAAATATTTATCTATTTCATATCTATTAAATTTTTTAGCAACAACGAACACTTACATTTCTGAAACCTCAACGAACACTTACATGTGGAGTCGTGTCTAGAAAATTTAGAACTTAGGCAAAATTAGAGAGTTTTAGTGTAATGTGAATCATTAGTACTTGTTCTTCTTGTAAAATTATTTGTTAAAGTTTTATGATAAAGTAAAACTGACATTTCATTCTTAATATAGCTAATTTATTCAATTGTAACATTTTTTTATTTGAGTCATTATTTAAGCAATTTTAATTTTAGAAAATGTCTTTCAATAGTTTCAGTATAAGGAATAAACATATTTGGAAACAAAGATCTTTTCTCTTTTTCTTTCTAAAAATAAAGGTAACTAATATGACCACAAATCCATGGAAGTGTTTCTTTGAAGTTATCTAATTTTATTTCTGAGAATAGAATTATCGTGAATATTATAACTCGAATGTTGTTTCTAAGTAAATGTAAAAATATGTTTGGTTAGATTTTAATATATTTTTAAAATACTTTTTTAAAATTCAAAATGATTGGAATAAAATGTAAGAGTACATGGAAATGAGAATTTTTTACTCAAATAATACTATTTTTTTTAAAAAAATTACCCAAATAGCAACTGTGCAAATTTATTTTTTCAACTAGTATCATTTACTGTTCACGTTTATAATGGGTCATTCTGATTTCAGAATGAACCGTTCTGATTTCAGAACGGACCGTTCTGATTTCAGAACGGACCGTTCCAGATTAAAAAATAACACATGACGAATGGATCAGAACGAGCCGTTCTGGATTCAAAATCAGCACATAAAAAGTAGAACCAAAACGGGCTGTTCTGATTTCGAAACGGGTCGTTCTGACCTAAAAATAATTTTTTTTTTGTTCGATTTTCACTTATCAAATACCAAAACTCAAAAACTAATATCAAATAATTAAATTTATTAAATATTAACATTATAAATATAACTAAATAAATTTATTAAAATTTAATATAACAATAAAGATCAATGGTGGCGGAAACTGATTATGTTGTTCTCTAATGTCCATCTCTATTTTAATCCTGTTGGACTTTGGCTGACTCGTTGGGAAACTGATTATATTGGCGGAAACTCATTATGTTGCTCGCATGACTCGCTGGGAGATTTATAGTAAGGCTAAATGTAATGTGGTGTGATTGCGGCAAGTTCCAAAAAGTTCATATCCCTTACTCGCATGACTCGCTGGGAGATTTACAGCAAGGCTAAATATAATGTGGTGTGATTGCGGCAAGTTTCCCAGCGAGTCGGCCAAAGTCCAACAGGATTAAAATAGAAATGGACATTAGAGAACAACATAATCAGTTTCTGCCACCATTGATATTTATTGTTGTATTGAATTTTAATAAATTTATTTAGTCATATTTATAATGTTAATATTCAATAAATTTAATTATTTGATGTTAGTTTCTGAGTTTTGGTATTTGATAAGTGAAAATCAAACCAAAAAAATTTTATTTATAGGCCAAAATAGCTCGTTCCGGATGCAGAATGGTCCGTTTCGGATCCACGTTTTATGTTCTAATCTTTTTTAATCCAGAACGGCCCGTTCTGATCCATTCGTCATGTGTTATTTTTTTAATCTAGAATGACCCGTTTTGAAATCAGAATGACTCGTTCTAAACGTGAACAGTAAATGGTGCTAGTTGGAGAAATAAATTTGCACAGTTACTATTTAGGTAAATTTTTTTTAAAATAATATTATTTGAGTAAAAAACTCTGGAAATGAAATCATAAAATAACTTCCTTATATTTCCATAAAAATATTTCTTTCTTATCTTTGATCATATAAAAATAAAAATGAAAGATATTATTATTTTCCCTCACATGAACAATACTCGAGAATAGGCTTTTTTTAAGTTCATGCCAAATAAGAGAAAAATATATTTTTAATTTTAGATTTTCTACAATAAAATTTTATATCTTAAAATAAACATATTATGATTTCTCTATTGTATTTTCTTTTTATTATAATATGAAATAGTAATTAAAAATAATAATTGTAGGCATAAGGCCCGGGTCAAATGGAGTCTTTGGACACACGGAGGTGGATAATTATTTGTTTGGATGCTAATTGACTAATTTGGGGTACTTTTCAAAACTTTTTACGTAAATGAGACTGTTTTGAAATTATTTATACCTTTGGGACATTTTAGTATGGTGTTGCTATGGTCCATAACGATACTAGTGACACGTGTACTTTTTTTTTGTAATTACGAACGGCTAAAATTTAGCTAGTAAAAGTCGCTATAGGCTGTAGTGATTTTTGCAAAGTCGCTATAGGTTACATCACTATTTAAAAAATATAATTAATATATATTTTTATTATTAAAATAATATTTTATCTAAAGGCGCTATGGGCCATAGCGACACCACTTTTTTTTTTATAATATTTTCATTTTATTTTAAATACTTCTTTTTTTTATATTTTTAATTAAAACTACACAAATAAATAAATTTAATTAAATTTATATTTTCAGTTTTTTGTTTAATTTAATTAAATTTATATTTTTTGTTTTTTGTTTATAAATTTAACTAAAAATAATTATTTGTGTAGTGTTAATTAAATTTTTTGTTTAAGTCTATTATTAAGATTTTTTTATGTTAATTTAAAAAAATTGACAAAAAATAAGTATTTAAAATAAAATAAAAATATGAAAAAAAATGAAAAAAATAAGAAAAAAGGGATGTCGCTATGGGCCTAGCGACATGTTTTTTAATTTATGAACGAGTAATGAATAGTCAGTCTTCCAAGAGAAGCAAATAGATATCATTTTTCTAAAATAAATGGGTACACCAATACTGCTGAGATGGAATGTAATACATATTATCTAAATTAGTGCACTATAGTTCTAGGAATTTAAACTAAACTATAATATCAACTAAACTAAACTATTATTAACTATAAACTAAATTGAACTACATTAAAAAAATAAATTTAAAATCAACATTTTTAAATTGAGCTACAAAATCATTAATATTAATTATAAATTAAATTTAAAATACACAGTGCCAAATTTTAAATTATCATAAGCAGCCTAATAATATACAAGCTATGCATGCATGGGTTAAATCCAACTCAACCAGGAGCCCAAAACCTTTATTTATATTGTTTAAGCCCAAAATCCCATCTCTACTGGAAAAATAAATGAAAGGCCCACCAATGGTAAAAACAAAACTATTAACCAGACTATTAGCCAGACTATTATAGGGGTAAAATGAAATCCCATCTCTGCGAGTCCGAATGTGGTAGTCTAGTACTGGTAATCTCCACGAATGTGCTTTAGTGCTTGTATTTGGTTTCTTTTAGTGAACCGAACTATTAATTTTAATAGTTTAGTTTTATAAACTATACTAAAAGTAATAGTTTGGTTTAAACTATTAAAAAATAATTTAGTTTATTTTAGTTTAGTTTAATTTAGTTATTTAAAAAGTTAAGTTTAAAATAGTTTTGTGAACACCCTAGTATGACTAGTTTCCTGGTAGACAGAAACGGGTATTTTCAATGTTTTAAGCTTCTAGCACATAATATTTTAGTTTTAGTATTAAAGCTTCTTACACATAATATTAGATTCCACATTCTCAAGGTTCCGCTGTTAGTTTTAGTTTCCTTTTTTTTTAATTATTTACTTATTTTCTTAATTTGTTATTTTATTTTATATTATGAATTTAATATAAATTTAAATTTATAATTCTATTTTATCCATTTTGTTTTAATTTTATTCCTTCATTTAATTTCTTACTTTTAATTTATATCTTTTAAATATTTTTTTAAATCATTTTTCCTTAAGTTTATTTTTTAATTTTTATTTTATATATATTAAATATTTAACAAAGGAGGTGCTATGGCCGATAGTAACTTCTATTTTTCTTTTTTTTTTAATTATTTATTTATTTTCTTAATTTGTTATATACTTATGTGAAATTTTAATTTTAATAAAATTTCATTTTTGTTACATGTATATTATAAATATTTTTAGTTTTATTTTTTTTGTTATTTTTGTTAAAAATATTACAAAAAAATTATTTAAATGGTGGCATTGTAGCAACTTCATTGAAACTGTTTTTTGTCGTCATGGGCTGTAATGAC